GTCATGTTCACCCAAATGTACGACAATCAATTCAACGAACTGAATGAACTGGTAAAAATAAAATGGATAATCGAAAACATAACATAACGGTGAGCATTACAGGGTGGAAAAGACATTTTCGACAAAATAAAAAAAACAACTTTTGAAGTAGAAACTGTAGGAAAATCTTTGTTCCTCTAAGTCATGGGTGTTATTTACCATTTTTTTTTCAAATTGGAGCCTATCAATATGTTTGATGAAAAAATGCAAAGGTCATCTATTTGACTGGATGTTGCTCAATAACTCATTTTAGTAATAAAGTGAATATTCTAGAGCCAATGCAATTCTAGAGCAATCTTTCAATATATGTGATGAAGTGATGTTTGTTCTTATGTGACCCCACAAAAAATCTAAAGAACACTAATTGGATGACCGTGTGTACCACTCAAAGACCCAGAATAGGACCATTTGAAAAAACCCATATAATCCACTTTTAGGAGGATTGTGTGTATGGGATGTTCTTATTTTCAGTGCCATACAAGAATTTTGAATTAAATTGTAATCAATTAAAAAATGTCAATTATTGAATGTGATGTACCCCAAGAATCAATATTTGTTTTGTTTCTTATTCAATTATTTGCCTACAGTGGAACTATTTGGTGAATAAAAAATGTTTGCTGATGACACCACTGTAATTCACAAAGGAAATATTGTACAAGAAATTGAAATTATCATTTCAAAAGACCTCGATTAAATAAATTCATGGCATTCATCCTATCACGAATGTTCACACCACACCAAAACATGCCTATGGAGTTCGGAATTTTATCAGGATTTGAATTTTGTTGGTTGTTGAAACATTTTTATTTCTCCTCAGCTCGCACAAGTCTGAGGGTTGTCGTAGGGGTGAGACAGCTGGTTGACAAAAAAAAACAGACTTCAAACAGATAGATATGTTTCAATGCCTAAATGTAATACAGATTTCTCTGCACCCTTTGGGCGATATGATTTCACTAGTAGTTGCTTGTTTTGGTCTTGTATATGGTCTTTCAACAGGGGCTTTCGACAATTGATAACAGCCATCTGGTTAGAGCTACATCTGTCAAATCAGTTGTCATTTATTCAGTTAGTTTGTGCCAAATCCCCATGGATGAAAAAAACATTCAACAACACGTGCTGATAATGAAATTGTTTCATCAAAATGGGTGCTATGTTCGGGCAACGTATCGCGTGCTTCGCCTATTTTACATTCGTCATAATCGTTCTACAGAGAACTATTCGTAGTGTGGTGAATACATTTGAGTCCAGTGGTTCAGTTAACAAACGACCAACTTCCGTACGTTGACGAAACACAAGATCTGCCGAAAACATCTCCGCTATCTGTGAGAGTTTGCAGGAGAATTCGAGGCAGTCGATTTCGCGTCGCTCACAAGAACTCGGCCTTCCGCAGATCACAAAGAATTTTCGGTCGGGACTTGGACCTGCACCCGTGAGGGAAGGTAAACACCATACACAACAACTTGTGTTTGCTGAATGGTCTCTGTAGTAGTGCAGATTGGGGATTTACTCGAGCGCCATAGAGACATATTAGGTTGCAAAGCTTAGATGATAAGAAGAAAAAAATTTTATGTAATATATAACTTTTCAACGGTGGGGGAAGCGGCTATAGATTTTTGAATATGTAAAAAAATATTGTTACATGGACATACTTGAGCGCGTCAGATATTGATAGTATCAATGTCCTACGTATTTTTAATAATGTTCGTATGTAAATCTGATCGTTTGCATGATACGGTTGGTTGTACGCAAGGGTTAAAAGTGAAAAGAAAAAAAATTCAATCGAGCGCATCAGATCTTCTAAGGGGGTGTTAAGTGTAATAAAAAAAGCTCTCATTCAATAATCTGACGATTTCGATCTGACACAAACTCGCGTCAATTATTAAAATGTGAAATACATTTTGAAATACTCAAACACGTCATATTAAGATATATGTAAATGGTTCATCTTCATGTTCTAGACGTGCTGTCTCATAATCTGACGATTATCTAGAGGGATTTGCCTAATCTGACAAAAAATAATTTTTTTTAATCATTGGACTTGAATAATTGAAAATCTCAGGATATAACATGCAAATAAATAAGTGTTTGTTTTTTAAGTAGAATACTTGTATTTATGAGAAAATAATTTTTAAAAATGTTCAAAACAATTTAATTTTTTCATAATCAACTGATTAATTGATCATCATCTTCATCTTCATCACGAACGAGTCTCTGTGATCAGCTGTGATGGAGTCATGGCAACATAATTCAGAATGGGGACGGATTGAGAGAGTAACAGATAGAGAAAAAGTGAAAGAGAAATAGAAACTCGGAGAGGGAAATATAGGTATCATACACCTGCACGCATTAAAGTTAATCGACGAATTTTTGTTATTTCGCCTTACGGAAATCGTCAGATTATATATTTTTCGTTATCCTTGAATCTTTCCTTCAAAATGAAAAAAATTAGCTACGCTCGGGAATGTCGAAATGAAGTTATTTTTTTACAACTTTGCTGTCCTCCCCTTTCTTTACCTCACTCTCAAATTGTCAGAATACTGGAATATACATTTTTCAGCACGTAATTAACTCACCCTACCTTAATCTGACGCGCTCGATAATCTGATCCTTTATCCTTCACGGGCGGTCTTATATATGGGGCTCATATTTGGTGGAGGTGCTCAACTGGGTACAAGGTATTCCCCTGTATATTAATCTACCGCGCTTTAGTAAATCTCGGAATCCCCGCTTGGGCTCCCCTATTACTGAAACAGATGGCAACTGACTCGAATTCTTATAGAAAAACCATCTTCAGCGATGAGGCCTATTTCCGGAAGAATGAGTACGTGAACAAACGATACCAATCAACATGAAATCCAAGAGCGTCTAACACATTCCGAAAAAGTCACTGTTTGGTGTGGATTTTGGGCTGGCGGCGTTATTGGTCCATATTTCTTCAAGAACAAAGTTGGCCAGGCAATCACAGTCAACGGCCAGCACTAAAGGTCGATGATTACCAACTTTTTTGGCCTAAATTGGGTGATCTGGACACCAACAACGTATGGTATCAACATGATGGCGCTTCGTGCCACACAGCTCATATCACATTGGATATTCTGCACGAGCGATTTGAGGGCATGGTCATCTCACGTGGAGGTGATGTGATCTGGCCACCGAGATTGTGCAATTTGACCCCGTTAGACTTTTTATTGTAGGATTTTTTTGAGTCACAGATATATGCGAATAAGCCACAAACCACAGCGGTCCTCAAAGCCAACATTACTCATGCCATCGGTCAAATTCAGCCTGATTTATGCGCCAGCCTGATGGAAAATTGGACACTTCGGATGCGCAGCCGTAGCAGACATTTGAACGGTGTTATATTCCACACATAATGGCATCAATAGGTCTTTCAAAGGAATGAAAAATTTCGATTATAAGTCACACACACTTTATTTTATTCAAATTTGTACAAAATAAGCTAAAATTGGTCTGATTAAATTTTCCAACATCTCCAACAGATACGTTTATCAATCTACAGTTCTAAAATTGTTGTAGTTGCATAGTATTCAATAATTTTGCTGCTTTTACAGGCCATATTCGGCGTTATTATTGGTTGTCAACAATAAAGAAGACTGGTTGACAATGTTTCGTGGTGTATTTCATCAGTTCTGACTTCCATTGTCTAATATAATATAAATTGATTTGAAATCCTAAATTGTTATTTTCGGTTATTCTTTTTAATTTTTTTTCAGGGATTTCAAATCAATTCATATTATATTAGAAGTCCGAACTGATGAAATACATTAAAGAAGACTTTTCAGGATGTAAATTCAATTTGTGATAATTTACCTAAGAGGTCAAAAATGTACTATCATAAATGACGTTTCAGTAAATTTCTTTAATATCAATAGAAAAATTAGAATTTGTTGTGTCACGTGCGTAAAATTCAATATTTTCTTCAAACAATAATTTTGAAACAGAGTTTATGTAAATCAAAAAAGAAATTGTGCCCAAAATGAACACTGACGCATCAAATGAGATGAATAGACTAACGATAGTTGCATACACACACCGATTTTGGACGGCCGACTTTGTACCGGTCGTCCAAATTCCAATAGTGTACCACATGTGGGAACGGGACCTGGCACACACGCCGACCTGTGATCGTCGCCGGTAAAATACCGGTGAGCAGCCGTCCATTGCCACTGTATCGCTGGCAGTACCGGGAAGTAGTGGCGTACATGACTAAATACACTTTTGCATACTCACCGGTTTTTTACCCACCATTCCAGTCTCGAATGCTCGGTGAAATTGTAGTTACTACGCATTAACTTCGTTTTGGTAGTGCGTGCTAATTACTACAACAAAGCAACTGATTGTTTGACCGATAAAAATCCGGTGAGTGTGCAAGCACCCGCTACCAATAAAATATCGGCCGATTTTATACTGGCCGCCCAAAATCGGTGTGTGTGCAACTAGCGTAATGCTAGTTACCAGTGGCAGTGGACGGCTGCTCACCGGTATTTTACCGGCGACGATCACCGGTCGGCGTGTGTGCCAGGTCCCGTTCCCACATGTGGTTCACTATTGGAATTTGGACGACAGGTACAATGTCGGCCGTCCAAAATCGGTGTGTGTGCAACTAGCGCAAGAAATAATAAAAGAAAATCACTCAATAGTAAAGAGTATTTTCAAAAACAAACTCCTATTTATATGCTTTAAAAAATAATTTTATGAAATAAGTGAATCACACAACAAGAGTTTATATTTTGTAACTTATCGAAATTATTGGTTTCATTCAATTGAAAGTTTTTCCCTTTTGAAGCATATTATTCACTATTGGTTTTTATTTCTGTAGTGTTTTTGGGTTCATTTCATGAAAACATTTTGAATATTAGTGCTAGCCAGCAGTAACTATGGTTATTGTTAAAATCTTCTTGCGTAATAATAAGGATTGTATCAAATTCATTGTTTCAAAGGTTCTGCACGAGTTCAAGCAGATTATGATAAAACTGGCCGAGAAACCGGACAACATAGAACGCGTCTTCGAAATGAGGGATTGGATGGAAACCGTTCCGATGTCTGTGAGAACCTTGGAGGAAATGACACGAAGATATGTTATGGTGAGTATCGACTCACATATGTTTTACATATGAATTTGAGAAATGATAGTGTTAACCTATAAATATTACTGGGGTTTTTCCCAACACGAAACCGTTATTTTAACACCTTGACACGTGTTTCGATCACCAAGTGATCATCTTCAAGAGAAATATCAAACTGTTGAATCTTTCTCTTGAAGATGATCAATGGTGATCGAAACACGTGTCAAAGTGTTAAAATAACGATTTGGTTTTTTTTCTTGTCTTGTATTATAGTCATGGATAGTATTTATTTGATTGAATTCCAAATTCAAATGTTTGTGATTTTTTCTAACAGAATGAATGAAACAACAAATTTTCAATTGAAAAATAGACTGAATATATGATAGATATATAGTATATATAAATTTGACTATTCATAGGTCATTCAAGTGTTATCACCTATCCCCTTTTCTTTTTCTACGCTTCACTAGTTCAGCGGGAGTTGTACGTTTGGCGGTAGTTGGCCGTTTTCCGCTTGATTATGGGTTTCCATGTGTTGCGTATCTCTACGCTAGCCTCTTCTTTGAACTTCCTTTTAATCCAGTAGTCCTCCCAGTGGATGATTTCAGCTTGAGACCATTTGATGTTATGTTTATGAGTCCAAACATATTCTTCTATTCCCGATTTGCTGGTTTCTACTCGCTCTGTGTTTTTCTTTGGCTCGGCAATGCTGACTTTCAATGGCCTGTTAGTTTCATCGATATACTCACGAAGAATTCCGTGAATGCAATTCCTGGAATCGCAGTCCACGTTTGGTGGCCTGGTTTTCGTTAGACTGGTACGAATGGTGTTTCCGTATCTGAAACAGGTTTTGATGTTGTACTCAGACCCAATTCTCCTTATCCTTTTTGATGTAGGGTAGTACAAGCACTCGTTGTGACAGCTTCTCTTCCTTGCGAAGCTCTTGCTGTCTTCTAGCCAAAGTCTGCTACACCATCATTTAGAGTAATCATCCCGTTGAAGATTTTTTTTTGATGATGCTTAATTCCTTCTCGAGACCTTCCTTCGTATTACAAAGCATGATCCACTAAGGTCTAGATGATTCCTCTTTTGGTAGATTGATGGTGGTTGGATTCATGATTGAGATACTGTTTCGTGTGAGTAGGTTTTCGGTATATAAATGTTTCTCACTTAGTGTCAGTCCTCTTCAGCAATACGTCTCAGAATCGCAATTCGTTGTGTACTTTCTTCTACATTGTGAAAAGTTTTCAGTTTTGTATCTCAACCGGACTCGAGGCATCTTGTGGGCTTCTTCAATGGCCAGAGTTTCAAACCAATTCATATATATGTTGGCTGTAACTGGTGAAAATAGCAATCCCCTTTCCAGTCTCTCATCTTGTGTAAAACACTCGTCTTTCAGTTGAAAATAGCAATTCCGTACACATCATCCTGGTAAGTTCGTTCTCAGGTCCTCGTCCTTCCAGCTTCCTTTGTATGATTTGAAGTGCTTCTCCAACAGGAACGTTGGTGTAAATGCTTTCCACGTCGAAACTGATTAATTGATCTTGCTCTGTGAAGTCGATTGCCCTTGGTAATTTTTTCACAATAGAAGAAGTTTTTCCTTGCAGTGATTAAATTATTGGGAGTAAAAATATGGACATTCTTCAGTGTTGATAGTGCTTACGTTTTCGAAGCACATGATACTTGTGGGGAACTAATTTTCAGATTATTATTTTTCAGGAGATAGCTAATTGTATGATTTTCAACACCCTATATATTTTGAAAAGAAATCTAGTCAATCACTCGCATCAATGATCAATTTTTGAGAATTGATGTGAAATTATTCTTTCAAAATAAAAACATTGTTAAAATGGAAAGCTGATAAAAAGAACTGAGTATATTTTTTTTATTGATTGATATTTTAGGAATATGAGGTACTCGATCATTTTTGGTACAACCTTCACGATGAAGATTTTGAAAATAAATGGGAAGCTGTTGGATGGCCTCTAAAAATTCAACGGCAAGTCGAAGAAACGGACGCGTTCCTGAAAGAAGAAGAAGAACGTTTCTACAAAATTCAATTGAATGATGAATTCGCTCTGCAAGACAAAGTCGAAACTTTGACAGCTCAAGTGGTGCAAATGTCGCAGCTGAGAGATTTTAACAAAGTATGTGGAATATCTTGAAGTCAATTAACATGTTAGTTCAATAATAATAATTACTTTTGATTTAAATAATATTTTGGTATTACGAGTATTTACATAGAGTAACTGAAAAAACAATACAAAAATTGTACCTTGCAGAACTTGATTTTTTTTTATCACTAATTGTGGGAGCAATCAGAGGAATACATTTTTTAGATAGTCATATACACATTCTAATTCATAATGCTCATATTCTCTTTCGAATTCGATATAAGTCATCACAATTTGCTCATCCTACACTAAAAGGCAACGAAATATAATTTGTCGTTCAATGAATAAAGCCATAAAGAAATAATGAACCATGGACTACCATAGCTTTGGAATTATACAAAATAACTAATAATGACTTTGAATCATTTAATATCCTTTGAAAAATCTAAATACCTATATGAATTGTCTAAAATTCTCCTGAGAAGTAATATTCAATTATTTGAAAGTGAAAAATTGCAAGATTATGATACAAAAAGTTTTAGTGAGTTTCATATTGATGTTATACATACAATCAAACGAACAGCTAATCCGATTTCAAATTGTATAGGAGTCTCCGATTAATTTCCTAAAAGAATTAAAAAATCTAAAACAGTTCGAATATTTTCAAAATACATCAGAGACAGTTCTTTAGTCCTTGGTATGACACTATTTTATAATTTACGCTGCACTTTTTGGTATGTCTTCGAGCTCTCCCAGCGATTCGGTTTCTATCTCCTCAATCGTCGCAAAACGCCATCCCTCCATAAGTCTCTGCACCCTTGGCAACAGAAAAAAGTAACAGAGGGCCAAATCTGGTGAATACAGTAGCTGAGGCATGATAATGAAGTTGTTTTTGGGCAAAAAATCACGAACAAGAATTCACGAGTAAGCATGTACATTACCGTGACGCAAAGCCATGATTTTTTTTCACTATACCGGACGTTTTTTTCCTGTTACTCCCTGCAAGAGGTGCATAAATTCAAGATAAAACTTATTATTGACCGTACGACCATGTGGCAAGAATTCCTAAAGCACTGCGTCACGGAAATATAGGAGAAAAAAATAATTTGGCGTGCTTATTTTGGTCTTGGCTCTCATGGTATCTTCCATTGGGACGATTGAACTTTGGTTTCGATGTCATAACCATATATCCTTGATACGTCACCTGTTATAACCCTTTTAAGCAAATATGGATCACCGTTGACGTCATTCAACAATTCCTCAGCGATGCTCATGCGACGGTTTTCTGGTCAAATTTCAGCAGTTTTGGAACAAATATAGCTGTAGCACGCTTCAGCATGAGGGTTCGGCAATGGATAACCCGTTGGACACCCATGGTCTTCGTAAAAACAGTGAACTGGAAGCTATGCTGTTTCATCTAAGATCTCATCATATCGCAACCTTACAACTTTGCTTTTCCCGATGAATTCTCGTGAATTGACCATACTTAAACTGGGATTGATAGGGTTTCGAAGTATTTTGTTAACCATCTAGCGATCTTGGGTATACATACATAGAAGACCATTTATTCAATTGGTTGCACCGACTTTCCTGGGTCGCGAATTTTCGGCAGACCGTAATTTTCTTCGTGAAAACAGTGAACTGGAAGCTATGCTGTTTCATCTAAGATCTCATCATATCGCAACATTACAACTTTGCTTTTCCCGATGAATTTTCGTAAATTGACTATATTTAAACTGGGATTGATAGGGTTTCGAAGTATTTTGTTAACCATCTAGCGATCTTGGGTATACATACATAGAAGACCATTTATTCAATTGGTTGCACCGACTTTCCTGGGTCGCGAATTTTCGGCAGACCGTAATTTTCTGGTACTTGACTGGTACTTGACCACCCATAGGCAGGGTGGTCAAGTTTTTGTACTTTTTGGGTGTATTTTTCACTTCTGAAACCATCTTTAGTACTGAGTTTTTTCGATTTTCATTAAAAGGATCGTTTCAATTAAATTATTCACTCTGCCGTTGTAATCTGATTTGTCTAGGATCACAACCTCATTACCTCTGCCTGCCTTCAAATTAAACATCTTTCTTCTTCAGTGTCCTGATAATGTTCTTTCTTTGTCGTTGGGAATTTTTATTAATTCAATTTTTGCAGGTTTCACGAACATAGTCGTTTGATGCCTCTGGCAAACGTTGGATTGCACTCTAAACACAAACCGCAACATCTAACACTTTCTTTGTAGAGGCCAAACAAAATGTTATACCCTTATTGAGGAGATTCAGTTCAGTTCTCAGTTCTCTATCAAAGGACTGACTCGAAAGATTTTCTACGATGTTGATCATTTTCTTCCGTCTATTATTAGTTTTCCCGACTCCTAGGTTTTTGATAGTTTAAATTGAAGATGACATTTTTATAAACGAGTTTTGATTCAATGATCATAAACAGTCGTCACTGCATATTATCCAATTGTTTTGTCTCATCGTCTCATAGATTAAAATTTCATGTCAGCTTTCCCAAGCAATATTGGCTGTTTACAATCAAATGTGGGAATACTATACATCTAATACATATTAGATGTATAGTATAGATGTATAGTGTAGTAGATGTATAGTATAGGGTTTATTTTTAGGAGATATTGATTTTTGTACACAGTTACCTCTGAAATTGATTGATTTCTTCCTTTCCCACATATGATTTCAAAAAATACAGATCCAATTTACGAATTTGTTACCAGAAATAAATCTTATTCAAATAATAATAACAATAATTATAATATAGATGGTTATAGAGGTTCCTGACATAAGGTGCAGGGCCTGCCGCGAGGCGCCCGAAACCCTAATGCACTTGCTATCAGCATGTGCAGCATATGCGGTCTCGGCCTATATCCATCGACATAACGCGGCCCTGAGACTGCTATATTACTACCTACGGCACTCTTACGGTATTGACGAGACACCGGTGTTGCCGTACGCTGTGGGGGATATTGAATCCGTTGTGGGAAACGAGAAGTGCCGAATTTATTGGAACTATTCGTTTTTCACCCTGAGGCTCATACAAGTTAGTAAGCCTGATGTAGTCCTTCTCGACCACCAGAGCAAGATGATATTTGTCATGGAGTTTTCAGCTCTTGGTGAGACAAATATCGTCCGAAAAAACGAGAAAAAACGGATAAAATATCGAGATTTTCGTTTTGAACTCCGCAGACTCTATCCAGATCATTCTGTCAAGATGGTTGTTCTGATTATTGGAGTCCTTGGTGGAATGATGTCCTCTCTACTCTCGAATCTTAAAATCATACTGGCTTGCCGCACTAAGGTAGAAATCTTAGTCGTACAGATGCAGAAGGCTGTCATTTTTGGCCCACTGCGCTTGCTCAGGGCATATGATTCTCGGATCCAATGATCACTTACCCCACGGTTGTGGGGAGTGGTCATTGGTTGATAATGCTGGCGCGCTCTCCCGAATGTATCGGGGATTTGGGGGATAGGGCCTGACCAGCGCACACTACGGTGAAAAAAAAATGTTTATTTGCATAATAAAATGAAATATTACAAAACCAATGTAACACAAGCAAAAAAACAAATAAACAGAAAAATCACAGAAGCAGTTCAAACTGCTTGTACGTGATATAATGACACATCCGGGTAAAGTCATATTTGGGTTTTTTGATAAGTCACATGTTGGGTAAATTTCACACTTCGGTAAATGACATAATCAGGAGGTACTCTTTTTTCATTTTTCATACTTATTTGGATTTTATGATATTACTGAAAATATTACGTTCCGTCTTGAGAATCCACTCAATTAAAAAAAAAATTGAATTTTCTAAATTTTTCTATATTCTGGATCTCATAAATTACTTCATCTCTTGTATAATCGAAGTCAGATCCACAATAAATAATGATTGTCTACAAATAGCTTAATTGAACCTTTCAAATTCAAACAAACCAAAAATAATAGAGGTCCCAATACTGATCCCTGTCGAACCCCATGTGTTAAATTTATACACTCACTGATAATTATTTCCATATGCTTTCGAAAGTTTAGAAATTGACAAATGTGAAATGATCTCTGTGAACGGTGACAAAGGTCCCATTCCTTACATTAGTCACTTACGTAATTACAGTAATTTTTCCAGTATTACATAATTTTTATTTCAACTATTCTTCCGGCGGTTCGACGTCGGTGCTTTGTTCACTCAGTCAATCGGCCGACGTGTGAGTCGATGGTTCAAGCCCCAGGCTGAACGCCCGGTTTTCACTTGCTATCGTCCAATCCGTGTTAAGAATCACACGTTAAAAAGTAAGACCTCGTTAGTCCTTAGCTCTGACAAGTTTTGACTTCTGAGGGTTGTCGTTACAAAAAAAAACAACGATACATATATATTTTGAATCCGTTGGCACCTTCTTTAGACGATGGGTGTCTGAAATTGATAGAATAAGTGACTATGAAAGTGATGAAATTCTCTATTTCAGACCCACGATATTGCTCTGGACATGAGAAGAGTTTGGAAGAGTATAAAGGAAGCGCAGGAACAAGGACAACTTCTTAATCAAAGGCAGAAATTATTTGGAGTTCCTATAGTTCCATTCGATAATCTAACAAAACTCATTAAAGAGTTTGAACCATATAAAAATTTGTGGGGAACTGCTTCGGGTGAGTATTTTTCTTGGTTGTTGAAATGCCACATAGACGAGTTTGTTCGTAGCTATTGGATAGCCATACGTTATTGTAGGAAATACATTTCCCTTCACAGAAAACTCTGGTCAAAAAATATTTGAAGTCACCTGAATAATTTTTGTAGTCCTAGTTATGAATAATGTGAAACCAAATCGAAGGAATACGATTTAGATCTTGGAACACCGCAGGGAAGTGTCATGGGTCCCTTGATATTCCTTACCAATGTCAATGACTTGCCTCATAACATAAAGGACGGTAGAGTTTTCATGTATGCTGATGACACCTCTATTGTGGTGTCTGACACTGATCGCCAAAGACTACAGCAAAAACTGACTCAGTTTTGAAAGATTTTGCGGATAACTGTATGTAGAATACACTGATAATGAATCAAAGTAAGACAGTAATAATTGAGTTTCACACAAAACATGGAATACCTTCTAATTTCACCTTCGAAGTCAATAATAATATTGTTGAAACCTCCACTTCATCTAAATTCTTAGGAACGCTCATAGATTGTAACCTAACATGGGAGGATCAAATACAAATCGGGATCCCTGGCGGTTTTTAAGTATAGACTTAGGGAACTCCGTATCAGAGAATGTTTCTATACTGTTGAGGAATTTGAATTATACTTTTCAATTTTGAGATGATATCGAAGTGTATTTTACATAGTCTATGTTAGTCATCATTGTGCTTGTTTCGTCCTGTTTGTCAATTAAAACTGTTTTTGACTTATCCTATCTATTGTTAACAATAGTTGAAAGGATTAATAAATATTTTATTTTATTTATTATTTTAATGACGGACTATTGAGGTAGATAATAATATTTAGAGTTTTGGTGTGATAAAAATGAAAACTGAATGTCAATAATCGTATAATAATAATCGAGGTGTTCATATAGCTGACAATAGATGCAGTTCGTCACCTTCTCATGTCCTTTTGGATCAACAACATGAATGATACTGATTTTGAAATGTTAAATTGATTTTGGAGAAAAACTTATCCTTTACCAAATTTCAGAGTGGCCTCCGAAATTCCAGTTAATGATTCATTTTGAATATATCAACCCAATGTGTCAATCCAATTGGACATAGATTTGGAATTTTATAGACTTCATACCTCATACAAATTAGAGTGATATTGAAAAAAGTTATTTTTCAATTTGCAGTTATTCATAGTCTGGCGAAAATTTTTTCAGACAACCCGCTCATGATTTTTTTTAACATACTGAATTACTTATAGATAAAACAATTTTTATCGATTGAACAGATGGTTGAATATCGCTTCTGATTTGTATCTTCCACTGTGGATGATGAAGGCAGGGTACTGGAACTTGGTAGCTTTCCATTGTAAATTTCTTTCTTCCTCTGTATATTTCATATTCATTCATTTAGTATCTACAGTTTCGAAGTCATTACCAAAAAAGTAAATCCAAAAGCAATCTCTTCAAGAGCAATTCTCCACTCACCAGAACTTCATTACTCTTCTCGACACTTTCACCTTTCATTGAGGCAAAACTGTATGTCTCTTTTTTTCCATTTTGATTGGTTATTAACAATTGCATTTTTCTTTACTGCAAAATTATTAAAATATATTTTCCTACACGTCATTCTGAACCTAATGAGCTATTGCTTTTTTTCTATTTATGATGAATTTCAATTAGTGCTTGAACATTCACTAGTGTTTGGTTTCTAGGTGTACATATATAGAGAAATTGAAATGTTGGGTTTTCCAGGTAGTTAAATTGAAGCTAATGAGCTATTGCTTTTTTTTCTATTTATGATGAATTTCAATCAGTGCTTGAACATTCACTAGTGTTTGGTTTCTAGGTGTACATATATAGAGAAATAGGCCAGGTGTACTATGTTGAAAAATACTGATTTTTCAGAAAAATTCCTTGCAGGGTAAACTCAACGGGAATGAGTTGGGAAGGTAGTCAGTAATGTTGGGGCAAAAATTTAACAGCTGAATGTTGGCAGGGCCGGAGGGGTGGATGTGAAAATGGGTGAAAAACGGTTTTTCTCGGTTTGCGGACAAAATAATTGTTTTAGAGAAAAAAGTTAAATGAAAAAGTTGTAGATAATGAAAAAATCTATAACTTTTGTATTCATACTTTTTTCACATAACGTCAAAATTTTTGAGTAAAACGCAAAAAACCACCTTTTTCGTTTTTTATTTTTCATTTGACAAAAAAAAGGCGTATCACTATGAAAATTTAAGCAATTGTACTATTTTTTATCACAAATAAGTAGCATTTTTTTTTGTGATAAGTTAATTAGTTTCTGAGAAATTCGCGTTTTTCGAAAAAAAACATTTTTTTCAAGTTAGTCAAAAAGGTTTTTTTTTGGCCTAGACAACTTTCACACCGCTCATTTTTTTCGTAATTACATCAGCTTTCAGATGAAAAAATAAAAATATACTACTTTAGGCAAAAAAAATCGTTTAAAATGTCACCCCTCCGTCCCTGCAAACATTCAGCTGTTGAATTTTTGCCCCAATATTACTGACTACCTTTCCAACCCATTCCCGTTGAGCTTGCCCTGTAAGGAATTTTTTCCTCAAAAAAATATAGTACGCCTGGCCTAAAACTCTTTTGATGATTTTCCAAATGAATGTAATTCGAAAAAGTTACCACCAATTATTGGTATAACAATCATTGAAATAAGAAACTATATTTCTTCAAAGCATCTAAAGCTAATGTTATCACTAATTCATTCATTTACTATTATAATACTTAATTAACATGAGTTGACGAAATAGGCCTTGAAATGCATTTTTCATCCACATTTCTTAGAATCAATTGAAAATCTGTTCAAAAAACAAGGTTAATGTTCAAATTTCGCGGGCTACGTAATTCAATTATTTTTTTGGTGAAAGGCAATTCAGTAATTTTGTGCTATTAAAAAAAATGTATCAAAGAATTTGCATCAAATGTTGTGTAAAAATGGAATTAGGTGCTCAAAAACACTTGACGTCTTGACAGTGGTATACGGTGACTGTACTCTGTTTACAAGTGAAACCAGCTTTTCACAGAAGGTGGAGATGTGAATGACGGTGCTCGCTCTGGACTCTCCATCACATCAATAACAGATGAGAATGTTGAGAAAGGGAAGACAATCGTTATGGATATTCATCGAATCACTATAATAGAAGTTGCTGAGGATGTTGGCATAGTGGGCATGAAGCGTGTGGCAGCAAAGTGCGTTTCAAATTAGCTGAGTTTTGACTAAAAACCACCTTCGTATCAGCTTCCAGATTTGCTTTAAAGTATCGTAACTGATGACGAATTTATGTGTATATGGCAATGACATCGGAACCAAAGTCCAGGAGACCCAAGACCAGAAAAAGCCCGCCAAATTGTATCAAATGTCATGGTTCTGCTCACTGTTTTCTTTGATTACCGTGGCGTAGTGCATCAGGAGTTTGTACGATCAAAAAGGAGTATTTTCTTAAAGTTATGGGACTCTTCATTATGCTTTTGCATAACGATAATGCATCTGCTCACTCGTCATTGCTTGTTTGTAATATGTTGGCCACCGATTTCCACCAGATTTAATCCCCTGCGACTTTTTCCTATTCCCAAGATTAAAGAGACCCACGGAAGGATGAGGTTTCGCGACGATTGAGGGGATAAAAAAAGAATCGCTGAGAGGGTTCAAGGACATACCAAAAAGTGCAGAACTGCTCCGAGGATGGAAAAAACCCTGGTACAAGAATATTATACCTGGAGGGGACTACTTTGAAGGGGAAACAGTAGAAAATGTAAATATATAAATAGTTATTGGGAAAAACAGAAATTCACCTTATTTTTTGACAGCATACACCATACGACTTCTCTACACCAATTTGGTTCACTAATTTCGTCATAAGTATCATTATAGCTTGCAAAGCTTCACCATTATGGCTTTAGAGTAATATGTTACTATAATAGGGGAGCCCAAGCGGGGATTTCGGGATTTACTAAAGCGCGGCAGATTAATATACAGGGGGATACCTTGTACCCGGTTAAGTACCTCCACCAAATATGAGCCCCATATATAAGGCCACCTGTGAGGGATAAAGGATCAGATTAGTAAAAAAAATTGATCATCAGAAATTCTCGAGCGTGTCAGATTAAGGTAGGGTGAGTTAATTACCTGCTGAAAAGTGTATATTCCAGTAATCTGACAATTCGAGAGTGACGTTAAGAAAGGGGAGGATACCAAAGTTGTAAAAAAATAACGTCATTTCAACATTCTCGAGCGTAGCTTAAGATTTTCAGCGACATCGAAGCCGTACAGAACGTTGCCATCGAGATCAAAAACCAAATAGACGATTTCAAGCCGATGATACCTTTGTTGCAGGCCTTGAGGAATCCCGGAATGAAACAGAGACATTGGGATACGTTCGAATCACAAACAGGTATATTAGATTATTTTACACGAGCCTGCAAAAATTGTTGTAGGTTCTGCCGGGTAAATGCCGGGAAATAATTACTTCCCCGGCTAATATCATGCTGGATATTGAATTAAATCTGCCGTACATTTATACAAGATATCTCATAGCCGTTAATATCGCAGATTCTTTTCGTTCATCCAGCAGTAGGACCATGTTGAAATCATTCGAGATCACATAGAGACTACGAGACTAACCTTTGTAGGGTATCTCGGATATAATCAATGTTCAACGTGGTATTAGCCGGGAAAGTAAGTTTTCAGTTTTATAAGCCGTGAAGAGTGGAAGACCATTAGTCATCCCGAAAACATGTTTGGAAAAAACACCTGGTATACAGATGGATCGAAGACCAAACATGGATCATGAGCTGGAATATACCGAGCGGATAGAAATTTAAACTACAGCTATCCGCTAGGACTATACACATCCGTCTTCCAGCCGGAAGTGTATGCTATCTTGCAGTGTGCAAGGCTTATTGAATTGAGACCTCAAAGAAATGAGCGGATCAATATTTTTACAGACAGCAAGAGCGCACTAGAGGCCCTGACAAACCCGAAGGTGACATCAAAACTGGTCTGGGAATGCCATGAAGAACTGAATGATCTTGCAAACAGGAACAATTTGTTGTTTGTACTGGGTGCCAGGGCATTCAGGAATCATAGGTAATGAAAAAGCTGATGAATGCGCTAGACGCGGATCATCAACTTCATATATAGGTCCTGAACCAACTCTGGGGGTACCAAAATCATTGGTACGAAACCAGAATAGGACATGGACCAATAAGAAGCACACAGAGTACTGGACAAAATTACCTGGCAACAAACAAAGTAGAACCTTCATTAGGGAACCGTCCGAAAAAAAACTGAAGAACTACTTCAATATAGTAGGGATCGGTTCAGAATAATTACAGGGTTACTAACCGGTCATTGTCCGCTTAGAGGACACCTGAATAAAATGTGGCTGTACAACGGAGACCTCAGCTGCAGATTATGTAACGAAGGGATAGAAAAAGCTCTACACATCTTATGCGAATGTGAGGCACTGAATCACAGGAGGCAGGCAATATATGGACGTACAAAATTACGCCCAGAAGAATATGACGAACATCCAACACGGAACCTGGACAAACTAGTACAGGGAGACTGATAGAATGGGTGTCATGAGAAGGTGGGAGAATAAACGCAATAAGCCCAAGAGGCTGCAGTGTTTTCTGGAGACTTGGACTAAATGGACAAGTCAGACAGCTCCCAAGGTAAAAAAAAAGTTTTCAGAGGGCATTTACCGGAACCTAGAATGAAGGTATTAGGTTGTTTCAAAACTTTTGTCCGTTTTTATGAGTCTACTTTAAACTGTGAGTGGTATATCAGTGATCGAAATAAGTGTCATTTGAATCAGTGCACTTTTTCCAATGTAACACAAGTCGAATAACTCTGTCAGCATGAAAATTGTGTGCTGAGGATTCGATAAAGTCGACTTGGGCCGATTTTGCCTGGTCCTGATTGGCGAATGTTCTACCGGTGAGAAAATCATTGAAGTGGTTGACAGGAGGTCTGAGGAGCATGGTGGATGAGCTAAAACTTCGACCTTCAATTCGCTTAATTTTCGTACAGTGATTTATTGACAGGCGTGGAGCTGGATCGGACCCCTTCTGTTGACCAGTGCTGACTGCTGATGATACAAATTCGGTAATTTTGTCGACTTCCTCACAATATGACTCTGCTATAATAGTTTGGTACTCTTGCAGAAAGTAGGGCACCTATTTTTTGAGCTTCTCAACCTTTCAAATACGTTTTAAAACATCAAGAACTGCATGGGAGTTGACGCCCTATTCTTCCACCATCCCACGCACCGTTTGTGATGAGTCAGTCTCCATCAGAATCCTCAAATCTTCGTCATGGGTTACTGTAGGTCGACCACTTCGTGTATCATCTACCATCATTGTCAATTGCCTGATTGAATTTAAGGGCTACCCAAACCGTCCGATGAACAGAGTGGCCAACCAAAAGCCTTTATTCCTTATATTCATGGTTCACCAACAAAGTAAACCAAATTTCCACTCTACGAACATATAAGAATACGATACACATAGAGGACCAAAGGCTTATACAAAATATCATGATCCGCTTGCTTCAGAACTTACTTTGGCCACATCAACAGAGGAGTCTCCAACAGAGTGTATGAAAATGAACCTGCTGTCCGTTAATCAGATCCAGCCTCATCCCTTTCCAAATATCATCCAACCACCATCTCCGAAAACACCAAAACTATTGTCACCGAATAAATTCTCCAGACCGGGATAATCCGCGAAGGTATTGAAATTGAAGAACAAACCAACTGCCTCAACAAATGGGATGACTCACGATAATATTTTGAGAGTTTTGGACTCTAATTCTACAAAAATATCTTTGTTATCGTTATTAGTAATGTTCAAATCGGAATACTTATATGAAGTATATCATAAAACGAAGTTGATAAATAGCTTCAAACTTAAATTTGCCTATTTTAATACCATTTGTAAATAAATACTATTATTGTTTTCATTATAATTTTTCGTTCACATTCAGTCACACTCTTATATATTCATCCAATACTGAACATCGATGCAGACGCTATCGAAGGCACCGTCACCGACATGTACAAAATGATGGTGAAATCGATTAAGATTTTCAGCGACATCGAAGCCGTACAGAACGTTGCCATCGAGATCAAAAACCAAATAGACGATTTCAAGCCGATGATACCTTTGCTGCAGGCCTTGAGGAATCCCGGAATGAAACAGAGACATTGGGATACGTTCGAATCACAAACAGGTATATAACGAGCCTACAATAATTGTTGTTTAAGAATGTGAACAATTAGAAATGAAATCCCGAAATATTCATCTCTTCCAACTACTTACACCATAGGTTCTGGTAAATGCCGAGAAACAATTACTTCCCCGGCTAGTATCACGCTGGATATTGAATTATATCTGACGTACATCTCATAGCCGTTAATCTTGCAGATTTTTTTCGTAGCAGTAGGACCATGCTGAAATCATTCCAGATCACATACAGACTGCGAGACTTACCTCTGTAAGGTATCTCGGATATAATCAAATGTCCAACGTGGTATTAGCCGGGATAGTAAGTTTTCAGAGGGCATTTAGCGGAACCTACAATGAAGGTATGTTGGTTTAAAACTTTTGTCCGTTTTTATGAGTCCACTTCAAACTGTGTTATATCAGTGATCGAAATAAGTGTCATTTGAATCAGTGCACTTTTTCCAACGTAACACAAGTCGAATGACTCTGTTAGGCCGTTTTTGCCTGGTCCTGATTGGCGAAGGTTCTACCGGTGAGAAAATCATTGAAGTGGTTGACAGGAGGCCTGAGGAGCATGGTGGATGAGGTAGAACTTCGACCTTCAATTCGCTTAATTTTTGTACGGTTATTTATTGATAGGCGTGGAGCAGGATCGGACCCTTTCTGTTGACCAGTGCTGACTGCTGATGATACAAATTTCGGTACATTTCGTCGACTTCCTCACAGTATGACTCTGCTATAATGATTTGGTTCTCTTGTGGGGCACCCATTTTTTGAGCTTTTTAACCTTTCAAATACGTTTTAAACCATCAAAAACTGCATGGGAGCTGACGCCCAGTTCTTCCGCCATCCCACGCACCGTTTGTGATGAGTCAGTCTCCATCAGAATCCTCAAGTTTTCGTCCTGGGTTACTGTAGGTCGACCACCTCGTGTATCATCTTCTATCATTGTCAAAGTAAACCAAATTTCTACTCTACGAGCACATAAGAATACGATACACATAAAGGACCAAAGGCTTATACAAAATACCATGATCCACTTGCTTCAGAACTTGCCTTGGCCACATCAACAGACGAGTCTCCTGCAGAGTGTATGAAAATGAACCTGCTGTCTGTTAATCAGATCCAGCCTCATCCCTTTCCAAACATCATCCAAACACCATCTTCGAAAACACCAAAACCATTGCCACCGAAAAAATTTTCCAGACCGGGATAATCCGCGAAGGTATTGAAATTGAAGAACAACCCAACTGCCTCAACAAACGGGATGACTCACGAAGACATTTTGAGAGTTTTGAACTCTGTAATTCTGCAAAAGAATCTTTGTTACCGTTATTAGTAATGTTTAAATCGGAATACTTATATGAAGTATATCATAAAAACAAAGGTGATGAATAGCTTCAAACTTCAATTTGCCTATTTTAATACCATTTGTAAATGAAGACTATTATTGTTTTCATTATAATTTTTCGTTCACATTCACACTCTTATATATTCAAGGGATATCATTACAATGGACTCCTGTCATCACTTTTCACGACTGTCTCAAACTGGGAGTAGAGAGTTTTTCTGACGAAATGACCAAAATAGCCGAAACAGCAACTAAAGAATTTTCTATAGAACAAACATTAGACAAGATGATATCAGAATGGGAAAATAATCTTATGGAGCTTTCGCCTTATAAAAATACTGGTGAGTGTTTCGAAAATGGACAGTCCCCTTGAAAAGTAGAGCCAGTAAATGGCATCTATAATTTTTTATTTAGGAACATATATCATGAAGATTTCCGACGAGAATCAGCAAATGTTGGATGACCACATAGTTCTCACTCAGCAATTGTCTTTCAGTCCCTTCAAGGGCCCATTCGAAGATAAATTAGACGCATGGGAGGAAAAATTGAAGACTACCGCTTATGTTATTGAAGAATGGATGGACGTTCAAAAGTAAGTAAATATACAGTAAATGAATTTGTTATGGAAATAAAATCTCAACTTTTCATTGGTACCCTATTTTGTTCATTTGAAGTACGTTTTAGAGCGTTTCAATGCAACATTTAAAAACACGCTTTTCAAAGCCATTATGATAATGTGGTTGCAAGTCATCCGCTGAAAAAAAATTACGCTGGCTGCCGCTGGTAGTCATGAATCAATTGTGACGTGACCAAGATCGCGCTTCTAGCGAATTTCATCAGTATTTGGAGCAATCCACAAGTAGTGTTTTAGGAACCATACTCAATAATTTTGATATGTTATGGAAGATAAATAATTATTGTTTTGGTATCTCATATGAGGTATTGATGATACAGGTAAAAAATATTTCAGATATAGGTTTAATTACCCTACCTTAATCGCATCAACTATATTATTGTATATTCAAGGATTTGTTTCTCAAACTACATCAGTTTACTTGAGAATGGTTCAATAAATCAAAACCGTTCGTAACAAATCAAAATATTAGTATAAATTAGACCAAAGTTATTTTCTGTATATATTGGTTCTAATGCGTCAAACGCCATAATTTCAAGTTTCAATGTAAAGTAACAAGAAGAAATGAATTTTTGGAGGAAAACTTAGAACCTAATCGAAGTGCTTGAAAATCATTTATTTTTGTTTTTCAAAAAGCATCAAAACTAAGCTAGTTATGTTTGTCCGTATATTTTTGAGTGACAAAATATTCTCTTCAAAGGGCTCAGTTTTGAAAAAAAAAGCACTTTCAATTAGGGTGGTGGGTCAAAAAATTTGGACCAATATAATTTTAATCGTAACTCGCTTGCAATTCTGATTATAGTGACTTTTATAGAAAACCATAAATGAATCTTCTTATAAGCACTTCAAAAAAATTTAATGCGTTTCTTCACGTTAAAATTTTGTATTTTGCCATTTGACAAATAAGTACCAACCTTGAACAAGCTATTATTCCACGAATGCTATCAATGTATTTTTTCAGACAATGGATGTACTTGGAACCAATATTCACTAGTGAAGATATAACAATGCAGTTACCTGTCGAAAGTAAAAAATACAATTCAATGGAACGGACATGGAGGCGGATAATGAGAAATGCTACCGAGTGCCCCAATGTAAATTCTTTATTTTTGACTAAGATAGATATATATTATTAAGACAATATTTTTTTTTACGAGAGCTAAAATATAATTCTATAACTCATGCCACTGAACTGCGCGTTTCTTCGATCAAGTTGGCGTCTTCAGGAAAATATAAATAAAAAATGAACAATGAAATAACAACAATTACAATAATTACAATACTTCGATAACGATATAAACATTATCAGAATTGGAAAAATGTACATGGCTATTAGTAAGTTTGATTTTTGATTAAATGTCATTCCATTTATTGAGGTAACCCACAGATTGCACATTACCATTATAGTTCATGATCCGAAGAGAGACTGTCCATATGATAGATATTTTCAATTAAATCTCATACATAATATATTCGTTGGAAATGAAAACTTATCCCTTTCAAGAGCGGCTAGATATTAGTCTAGCCATTGGTGAGTGTTTAGAGATTTGCCTTTTGATTTCGAAGGTGGATCCCCAAGAGTATCCAGACCGGAATCATCCAAACAAGTTGGTTTTCAAACGATTCTCAGTGTTACTATCTTCATTCATTCATTCGGGTGTGAAGGCCGTCGTAGTTTGGAACTGCACCTTAACGTTTCGCCAGTAGAAGTAGCTGGCTTCTTCAGAGGTTTATTCATCTTGATGATTCACCGATGACTGGTGATTTCTTGTTCGTTGGTTGTATTTATGTTGACTCAGATAGTCCGCCTCTCTTGTTGATGCGTTGGCACTTTAACATCTTTTAGTATGGGATTCCAAATCCGATTAAGCGTTACCTCCTCCTCTTTTCTGTTGTAGTTTACCGTATGTTTATGGATTTCTATGGCTTCCCGAACAAGCCGACTGTGGTATCCATGATCGGGGGCAAGTAGTTTCAAATCTTCAAACAGTATCGTGTGATCTCCTTGGTGATATTAGTCTAGCCATTGGTGAGTGTTTAGAGAATTGCCTTTTGATTTCGAAGGTGGATTCCCAAGAGTATCCAGATTGGAATCATCCAAACAAGTTGGTTTTCAAACGATTCTCAGTGTTACTACCTTCATTCGGGTGTGAAGGCCGTTGTAGTTTGGAACTGCACCTTAACGTTTCGCCAGTAGAAGTAGCTGGCTTCTTCAAAGGTTTATTCAACTTGATGATTCACCGATGACTGGTGATTTCTTGTTCGTTGGTTGTATTTATGTTGACTCAGGTAGTCCGCCTCTCTTGTTGATGCGTTAGCACTTTAACATCTTTTAGTATGGGATTCCAAATCCAATTAAGCGTTACCTCTTCCTTTTTTCTGTTGTAGTTTACCGTATGTTTATGGATTTATATGGCTTCCCGTACAAGCCGACTGTGGTATCCATGATCGGGGGCAAGTAGTTTCAAATCTTCACAGTATCGTGTGATCTCCTTCACTAAGCGCGTGTTCCACTTAGGTTAGGTCCAAAGTGAGTGGATCTATTGGGTTTATTATAGCTCACACCTATTCTCACTCGACCAAATAAACCCAGCTTCCTAACGAAGCCGATTAGTTTGTATGGTGACTGATCTTCCAGGTCAGAGGGTAAGAGTAAGGCTCTGCCGAACTCTGAAAACCTGATTCGGTATCCAGCGGGGCGGGAACAAAGTATGTGCTCTTCTGTTTCATCATTTTCCAAACAGAGGCGACACAAACTGTTTTCTGACAGTCCAAGTCTCTGCATATGATTATTCAAATGACAGTGACCTGTTAGAAGGCCTATTAGACATCGTAGTTCATCCCTACTGTAGTCCAACAACTGTTTGGTATCAAGCTTCGAAGGGTGAATAAACGCCTTGGAGTGAGCCAATCCTGGAGGATCATGCCAGAAGTCCATGAATTTTCTTGCCATTCAGGTGTTCAATCTTAGTTTGGCAAAGCCTGAAGCGATGCTAATGGCAAGTTCTGGTCCGATGAAGCTGCTTGCAGCGTGTTCCACTACTGCCGATTTGTTTATTTGACCCACAGTTTTTCCGATGTTCATTCATGTTGGAAAAACAACCTCGTACGTCAAGGATTCGACAGACTTTGTGGGAAAAATTAAGAATATAACCTTGGAACCAAGTAATATTCTGGTCAGTTTCGACGTCCTTGTTCACCAACATCCCGCTGGAAGATTCTTTGAAACTTTACAACGGCCTTCAAACCCGAATGAAGAGATTAACACTGAAAATCTCGGCCGCGAAAGCCTTAACCAGTTTTTCAAACGATTGCGACATGAATTTCGTAGGACTAGAAAGAAGTGTAGCGTATGAAAAGGCAAATAGACCAAAGTCTATCATTGGAAATGGGGAAAATGAATTTTTTTGGAAACAATCGAAGAAAATCCTCATACGAGTCAAAATAAGAGCAAGTAAAATACATAGATGAGCAGACGGAGTATTCCTAGGTTAATAAAAAATACTAATTTCACTCTTACCGTATTCAGATGCACCAGGAATTATATGAAATAGATTTCCATCGACGAATCGAGATTTGTCTATGGGTTCTGGATAAGTTTAGTGAGGATCGGCATTGTTTGGATTCCATTTTATTTCCTGATGAATTTACTTTCCATAATAATGGCTAAGTAAACAGACACAACTTTCATATTTATAGTGATGTGAATCCTCATTTTTCCGCACTCTGGATGACCATGATAGATGGTCTGTTGACGTGTGAGGAAAAATTATATGTACAGTACACAAGTTATAGGACCATACTTTTTGATGGAAACTTGAATGGTCAAAAATGTTTACAATTTTTACGAAGCCTGAGCTTCTGTGCCGCTAAATGTCAAACAACGGATGTGGTTACAATTGGATGAATCTCCGGCACATTTCAAATTCAGTGTCAGACAGTTTTTGAATACGTGTTTTCCGAATAAATGGATTGGTGGGGGAGGACCAAAAATTGAATCGATTTTTCTCTGGGGATACTTGAAGAATGAGGTTCATGACACTTCTCCAACCACACTGAAAAATATTAAGGAGTGAATAAGGGCTGATTTTCGAAGAGTGGCGCCTCAGATGTTATTAAATTTTAAGCAGCCTGTCATAGGGAGAGTGGATCTTTGTCAAGATGGTCGTCATTTAGAGCACCTACTTTGAATTGAATATATTTGTTTCATATTTTGTTGTTGTTTCAATTGAATAGTAAAAAAATTATAAATATAATAGACGAAGTGATAATTTCAAATTTGACTTGCCTATATTGATTATTCTACTAGCGTTAAATTTGTTCGACAACTTTTCCAGATTATCGAATACTGCGGAGATCGCAAACTGCTGGAAAGTTTAAGGGATGCTAATCACATTCTACAAGTCGTTCAAAAAGGCCTGTCTGAGTATTTGGAAGTAAAGCGGATGGTATTTCCTCGTCTCTACTTTCTCAGTGACGACGAGCTCTTGGAAATCCTCTCCCAGGCTAGAAATCCACTTGCTGTTCAGCCGCATCTGAGGAAATGTTTCGAAAATATAGCCCGGGTGAGTAGTAATTAGAATGACGTACAGAGAAACATATTTAGACATTAATTCCATGCGGTGGAGGAATTTACTCACACCAAGGAATATGATGTAATTTATCTTTTGAAAGGACACTAACTTTGATTTGAAATAGTGCTTCGCTTGATAAATGTGAACTGCGGGTTCACGATAAATTTATTTTGATTTGAAGATAATACTTATGTGTTATATTATCAAGTGTTGACAATGCTAGCCCTGATATTGATATTGTTCTCTTTAATCGTGACTCCGGCAGAATTGCAAGAACTTTTGACAAGAGAAATCGGGTGATATTGTGGACAATTGGATAACACCCCTTCTCTCATAACATCTCCCAGAAAATGTTTCATCAAGAAACTACCGAACAAATTATGCATAATGAGGAGCTTCGTCTTGCTAAAATTACGTAATTTTTTCATGTAAGCATTGGTTATTTTCCATAATTTTGCTCAACGCTGTGATGACGGCATTTGGATTTTCCGGTAAGAAAAAGGGTCCAGGTATAAGCTCACCAAAAATACTAGTCCAATATTTGAGGATGTTGAGTATGAATCTCATGGTAGATCTTTGGATTAGTTCAGGACCAGTTACGACAATTATGTTGATTGATAGTCCCATTGATATAAAAATATGATGGAAAAGGTAGCAAGATTACTTGAAATCAGATATTTTTTACGAAATTTGAAACGGCGGTTAATGATATCTTCATTCGATACATGTTCATTTATGTATACAGAGTGGTCCAACGAAAAGTATGCACCTTGCTTTTCTCCTTTTTTTGTAACTTAACGCAAAAATGCTCGGACAGGTCAATTTTGCTTTTAGGGGGACACATTTTAGATGTATTTTTCTACCTGTGCCTTCAACCCCCTAGCGAGGGCGAGTTACAACCCTAAAATTGGAAAGTGGGGTCGAGTGATATATCATTTGAAAGGGCACACAATTATCTTTCCAATGATACCTAATTTGTTGTATTTCACTCAAATATGTAGGTATTATGAAGAAAAACAACTACTACCCAGTATTTTCAAATGTGTAATTAACTTAGTAGAATCCTACTTCAGCAAGTGCTGAAAATGTGACCCATTTGCTTCCATACAATAATACAGATTTTGTTCAAATCTATTCCTAACATTCTGTAGCATATCATGTGATATGCTACAGAATGTTAGGAATTCGTTGGCGAAGATCTTCTATGGACTCGGGCTGCGTAGCAAAGCATTTATTTTTCAAGTGTCCCCAAAGGAAAAAGTCTAAAGGCGATAAATCAGGTGACCTGGCAGGCCATTCAATGGGGCCTCTCCTTCCAATCTACCGTCCAGGAAACCGGTCATCTAAAAACTCTCTTGCCGGAGCAACATAGTGAGGAGGTGCTCCATCTTGCTGGAAATGAAGCCGATCATCATTATGATTTTGGTCATTTTCAATTATTTCTGTTATGAGAGGATCAATTGTATCTTCAAGCATGTTCAGGTAGACCTCACCAGTTAAATTCCCAGGAATAAAAAGTGGCCCTACGATTTGACTACCTAATATGCCACACCAGACATTGATTTTTTGAGGGTACTGGGTATGGACCTCTCGGAATAAGTGTAGGTTACTGTCATCCCAGTAACGGCAATTATGCCTATTCACAGCTCCATTCACAAAAAATGTACTCTTATCGGAAAAGCACGTGTTGAATGATAGCCTTCTATCAGGCTCATCTTCATTGAGTTCCTGTACTAATTTAATTTTGTACGGATGAAATTCATAGGCTTTTAATATCCGTATTATGGACGAACGGGAGACACCTGAGGCTGCAGCAAGCTGACGGGTACTTTGAGTATGATNTGGACTTTGATGATGCACTAAAAATGCTAAAACCCAAATAGTCAGAGGGAACTGATGGAATACCACCTTATGTATTGAAGGCCTGCGGTGGATAAGTATGACAGCCTCTAATACATATTTATAGCCTTATTTTTAGAACTCTAAACGTACATTCATCCGAAAAACAAAATTTAGACAAAAAATTCTGATGCAAGTTGATTCGTTCAATGAGACTTCCACATAACTCGATACGTGTATCGATATCATCGTCGTTCAATTCATCAACTAGTCAAATCTTACATAGATGAAATTTGTAATTATGGAGGATCCTGAAAACATTTATATGACTGATTCCTGATTCTCGAGATAACTTTGTAAGAAATTGCGAAGTTTCCATTAGTCCAACGTGCCCTAAAACTGCAGTACAAATAGCATCATCGTTGACAACTCCTGAACGGTTATGCTTTTTATTGTTAACAGATCCAGTTTCCATAAAATTGTTCAATAATTTCGAAACGTATTTGTGTCGTACATTTCTTCCTGGATGATTATCATTGAACATACGGGCAGCAGCTCTAGCACTATTTCCATTCTGGTAGTACAGACTATTTCAACTCGTTTTCGAAGCGTATAAACCATTACTTCTCAAGAATTAACAGAAACAGAAACACCAATTGTAATTTCACCTGGTAGGTTCACCTATTCATCATGGATCATCTGATAATGCTAAACAATTGATCCATTAAAAAAATGGTGACATGCTGTGGGAGTGCGATAGGGAAAGTTAGATCAAACGTGATTATGTCAAAATGTGTCCCCCTGTATACTATCGTTGGGATGTTTTTCTTATTTCTCATGAGAATCATTGTTCCATCGTTTTCAACTCAAATCATTTGTAGCTCTCGGACCATAAGCTTCAGACCATATGTTTTATTCTTTGTTGATGTTTGTCTATATAAATATTAGCTTAGAAATTGGTTTCGAAAAAATGAACTGTTGGAAAATATTCTGAGTTGGGGTGATATCCGTTATTCCCAAAAATAATGGCAAGAGAGAAAACGATAGTTAAAATTAGGTCAAGAACGGGAACATTAAGGGACTTACTTGGATTCCTCGTGGTCGTCCGCGTGAAGAATAGCGTTGGAAAGGTACCTTTCTGAGGAGTAGATTCGGGAAGCTCCGTTGAAGGAAATCTTCGCTCTTGATAATGACAGTCACAAAACAAAACACTTTTGATGTCGATAAATATGTTTTCAATGACTATTACTTCGACATGAGCACCGGAGTTCATTCAGTTGGA